GTTCTCGAAGCCAGAATGCGTATTCAGGCATTTCCATGGGATATGCGAACAAGCAGACAGAGTATTTTGAGGCTCTAAAACAAGGATTCCCCGTGGATAGTCTGAAACAAAACTCCAGTGGCACTTTAAAGGATTAACATTTATTTCAATCGAAATAAATCTTGTTGGTTTTTGAGGTGCCACTGGGCTTTTGTTTTATTTTGCTGTGACAATAATAGGGCGGCCCCTTCGCAGTCCTCAAGGGATAATCTAGCAGTAGTACTGCTTTCTTTACACAGCTGGTATAAATGGGCATCCACGGGGGCACTGACTGGGGCATCATCTACATAAATTTTAAAAACAATATTACAGTATCTGATTTTTCCAGCATTCATTGGGCAGCTTGGCACATAAGTTTTGTAAAGTAAGGGCAAAACTGTATGCATCATCTTCCCACAACCAGAGGTCATTTGGGTGGGAACGCCAGGGATCGCAGTTCCCCGGGTGAGTCGGATTGATGAAGCCCCGCCCCCTGCTTCCTGCCCCGCCTCTCCCCACCCCTGCCTGCCTGGGGCCAGGGAGGGCCTTGGCGGGGCCTCCTCGCACTCCCGCGCGGGCCTTGCAGGTCCACCGCCGGGCCCCTGATGTCAGGGGTGTGGCATATGCTAATGAGTTATGCTAATGAGTTCCCCTAGATCTTTTTCTACAAAACGACCCCTGACCACAACAATGTGGTTCCCAGGAAGTGCCCCCTATGGGTATATATGTAGATGAGGAGGCTTATAAATAGTCACCAGTTTGTTCATGGTTTGTCACATGCTGCTGGAGGTGGAGCCACTGGTTAGGAGGCAACTCAGCGTAGCACATTCCTAGGAGGGCCATTAGTGTGGCAAGATCACACCCTACATTTTCTGATATGACAGTTTCTGCTTTAGGGTCCAGTGCCACCTGTGTTTACTTGGTTGCCATGACAGCGAGATTCTGAGCTGACCCAACAGATGCTTAAGGCAGCAGCAGGTTCCAGGGCTGTTCTTTGACTCACTAAAGTTCAAACCCGGTAGACACACTTTCTGCTCTCTCCTGCTGGTGCCTCCTGGTTGAGCCAGCACTTGCTGGCGTTTGGTTGTGGCTGAATTTCCATTTCTTCTTTTGCCATGGCAGCTGTGGAGCACTACAGAGTAAGTACTAAGTGCCTAGCCCAAAACAGACCACCAGGATTGAAGGAGGAGGAGTTTGAGATAGATGTGAGCACACACCCGAGCCCCCTCCTGTAGTAGGTTTTGTCTTCCCCAAGCCAAACTTGCACCTTCAAACCTCAGGATTCAGCTTGTTCCAAGTTCTGGGGGTGGCTAGTGAGTTCCCATCTCTGGTCCCAGCTCCTGCCAACCTAGCAGTTCGAAAGCAAGAAATTGCAAGTAGAAATAAGTACCGCTTTGATGGGAAGGTAACAACGTTCCGTGCGCCTCGGCATCTAGTCATGCTGGCCACATGACCACAGAAACGTCTTCCAACAGTGCTGGCTCTTTGGCTTGGAAATGGAAATGAGCACCGCATCCCTAGAGTCGGATTCGACTGGCTTTCAGGCAAGGGAAACCTTTACCTTTTACCTAATGCCATTCAGTCCTGCTGTGGCTTCACCTGACCACAAGTCCCTCAGAAATCAGGTGCATCTTTCAGAGTCAGAATCCAGTAGAATGCCCTGTCCTGGATAGCCTAGGCAAGCCCAAGATCTGTCAGATTTCAGACGCTAAGCAGGGCCGACCCTGGCAAGTGCTTGGAAGGGAGACCTATAAGGAATACCAGGACTGGGATGCAGAGGTAGGCAATAGTAAGCCCCTCTATGAAAAGTCCAAGGCCCGCTAGGCACACACACAAACGCACACACACACAAATACCCAAAACATCCAGCAGAACAAGAGTTAGCAAATGTAGGGAACACGCAGGGAAACAAATTAGCTTCCTGGGGGGCCCTTCTCCCTCCAAGAACATCTCAAGAGATCTTCCTCCCAGGAAGGCACTAAAAGAGAGCTAGTGCCACAGGGCAGATGCTCTCCAAAGAAATCTTCAAAGGCAGCCTTCTGGGAAGGGCACTTACATTGAGGAGTAATATCCAGCTGTTGGTTTCACACAATGTGTACCTCTCCGGAAATTCTTAGAAATTACAGAATGTTACATCTGTGCCTGTTCTTGTGCAATAAGGTCACATGCTTTTTTTTCCCCCTTAGGGAAAAAAGACCTGAGAGCCATGCATAAATGTAAGAGGTTTTAACAAGTGTCAAGGCTGAGCTGCCTTGGTCTGAGAGATTTGTTCCCCTACCTCCAGCCTGAGACCCTGAAGCCAGCCTCTCTGTCATAATGTAACCAAATTTAACCTCAGTTTAGATCAGTAGACTCACAACACACCATAAATCAAAATAAAGCTTTATTGAAAGAAATTGAAAGATTTTAAAAGCAAGAGAAAATAAAACTAGATTTTCTGAATACACTTAGTAAGCAAGGTTTCTGCAGCACAATTAACTTCTGAAAGCTCTGACTCAGTCCAAAGCAAGCAACAAAATCCATACAGATTTAGCAGAAGCAGGTGATGGGGAAGGGGATTAGGACAGGACCTATTAGCATAGTCTATATTTTATAACAAAAACAGGACATGAACCTCCTGACCCCCTTCCACCAATCACTGTGCTGTCTCTAAGGGATCTTCTGGAAGAAGAGCAAGGCCCCCCCATCTATTTCCATCTGAAACCAGTGAAAATTGGGAGAACTAGTGGAATGACTTTGTTGGGTAACAGCCTCTGTTTGGGATTGCAGCTAGCACCAGTTGTTGACTGTGCGGGGAGAAGAGAGTATCTTACAAGTGGAATTTTCCTCAAAGATGGCTCATTTCCTTGACACACCTCCTCCTAAAAGCTGAAATGTATGGCCCTTGTCAAAATTTTAGCTTCTAGTAATGCAAAAATAATAGCCAACAATTATCACGACACAAAAATCTACATCAAAGCAACTATGCAAACACTAATTAAAGCATATAAATGAGGTAGCAAGTGTACATTCATTTATGCAGCACTGAAAAAAAAGGAATAAAGGAACAAGCAATGTAACTGGTAACGGATGCATGTTAATGTGACAATCGAATGCTTTTGCTCAATTTTGAGCCTCCCTGGAATATGACAGGCTATCTGCCACAATATTTTCTCTCCCTTTAATGTAGGAGATCTCAGATATCTACATATTCAACATTATAAATTTTCTTACAACATATACCCTGTAACGATTTCATGTTTATTTGTGTGTGTGCCTTTAAAAGTTTGGTTTACATTGCTGTGTGAAAGTCTAGTGTGGTTGAAACAGGCAAGTGGTGTGATTGGTGAGTGACAGAGAGGGGAAGGGGTTTTGGAATGGATGCTGTGTGGATGATTGGAATGTCTATCTGGAATGACAGTTAGTGAGATGACTGTGGAGAAAGACAGTTGAAAAAGTCAGTTAAGTTGGTCTCGGATGTTGAAGGAGACTCATCCCTGTGTAGGAAAGATTTGGTTCTGTGTAGTAAAAGAGTGAAGCAGTTTGTTCGTTTTAAGGTCTGAGAGAGAGAAGTCTTGTGTGTGTTATGAAAAGTTGAAGCATAAAGAAACAGTAACCATATATGGCCTAAGGAAAATATTGTTACAAAGTGACCTGCCCAGATCCCTGTCAGTGGGAGAGAAAAGTGTGTGACATATCAATAAATCTACTTTTATTTAAAATACCAGTACTAAAGAAATTCTTCCCAGGAAACACATAGTTCCTCAAACGCCTAAACTCTCGATCCACCTACCCTGTGATAGGAATATTATAGTAAAAGGTTTGGAAAGACTTATAAATTTTCCTGGTGGCAGCCGGATACCCAAAGTAAAATAAAACATAAGAACACTTTAAAGGGAAACCAGACCTCCCCAGTTAAGGGGTCGTCACATACCCTTTTTTCATTTCTCCTACCCCCCCTTCTCTTGGCCTCCCGCAATGCTCCCACCCCCTTGTACTATTCTTAAAATCCAAAACTTCATATTCTTATTTCTTTCTTTCTTTCTATTCATCCTTTATAATCTATTCATTATCTATGTTCCAGGTAACATTTTCCTTTTTCAACCATCTTTTCAATCAATAATCTGTTATTAGTAACTATCAAAACAAAGTAAGGCCCCGGTCACACGGGCAGGAAACTGCGGGGGAGAAGCGTGGCTGTTTGCCCTGGGGCAAACTACTGCGCTGTTACGTGATCAGACCTCCCGTGGAGGTTCTGTGGAGGTACCGTGGAGGTTCCATGGCAAGGGAGAGGTGCTGATCACAGGACAAGCCGGCGCGCAATGAAGAAGTGCGCGCCGCGGCAAACTGGGGTTTTTTTGTGTGTACACGACAAATGCGCATGCTCCGTTGGGTGCGTGTGCGCATCCACAGAGACTTGGACAAAAAAAAACACACCTTATTTGCAAGGGGACATGGGCGGGCGCCGGATGCCACCGGAAACGCGATCAGACGCCCGCCCTTGCCCCGCAGTTTCTGGAAGCTACTACCTCCGAGGTACTAGTTTTTTGCCACGCAGTTTCGGCTGGAAGCCTCGGTTGAGCCACGGGAGTGCTACGCTTCCCAGATGTGCTGGTGAGATCGCGCCCGGAAACTCCGCCTGTTTTCCGTCTCACTTGTGTGGCTTCTGTTCCGTGTGACCGCAGCCTAAGTTATTTTTTACATCCCAGTTAGTCTCTATATATTCTTTGAAATCAATCCATTCTTCAATAAGTTCTTCATCCTCCTTATTATTAA